CTTCGCTTGGACGAGCCATCGCATAGCCTCTATACACGTTTGTTTGTACCAAATATATACAGTACCCCCGACCCACTGGGTCGTCATTTGACCAATGTTTGGAAACTCCAGGGTATTTATGTTTATGTTCGCGAAATAGCTACAATATTTTGCTGACAATATTTTAAACAAAAGCAAATCAAAACGCTGAAACTGTTTACAAACATTCACTGTTTACTAAAATTCAATTTTAGTGTATTTTTCTATAGTCTATCAATGGGATAAATTAAACCGCGTTATAGTCAAAGAGAAACGATGTGTACGATGTTGGCAAATTCACTATTCCAGTATCTATTATGACAAGCTTTCCAACTACTATATCTTGATTAAATTTTCAATGAAAGTGCTCTTACTGATCTCAAATCGAAACATCTACTATTAATTTTCAATTAATCTTTTCGAATGGATTTCAATAAAAATACTACTTTGATTCTGTAGTGACAATGTAATAGCAAGTTCACCAATTGCAATATCTTAACTAATTTTCTACTGAAGATAGCTCAGGGGAGCTTTAATCGCAACATCTCAAATTACAGTATCACCAATGAATTTCTCATAAAGTCACTATAATAAAAATTTCTTATGTTTATGTTCTTATTTCTTGTCTTTTCAATAGTCAAATATTAGTAAACAAGTAATGGCTGCATCTCCAGTCGATGTCCTATGCCAGTATCTACAGACACCATCTGGTGTCAGTTTCAGTTGCAGTATCCCAAATGCAGTTTTCCAACGAAGATGTCTATATCTGCAATGGATTTTCTAATCAATCTTCAAAAGCAAATTCTCCTTTTAATGTCGTATGCCAGTATGCTCTGTGGTAAGATCTTTAATAATAATATCTCCTATGAAGTTTGAATGAAAACAGTCTAATAGATATCTGGTGACAGTATCTATAATGGATCTTCAAAAATATTAAATGACAGCAAATCCAATGTAATTCAATGGTACAGTTATATAATCTCCAATGGTAGTATTTGAAATAAATTTCCAATTGAAATACGCCAATGGATCTGTAAAAGCAGCATCTCCATTGAATTTTCAAATAATCCTCTCCAATGAATCTTAAATGAGTAACTCCAATGGGAATCCAATATTCCCATTGGAATATCAATGATATGCCGCTAATTCATGAAAAATTCGTTCACCAAACTCCAACGTTTGGAAACGAAAACTGTAAACAACACTTATGGTGATAAATTCTTTTCTTTTTTACTTGCTCTCTAAGTGTACCTAACGTTATTGTCACATGGGAGAATGGTGCCATTTATATCTATAGGTGGTGGGTGTTTTTATAGTTTTTGTTTGTTGTTTTAAAAGTTAATACAGCTCGTTTAACTTTATCCACCATTGCTTGACTCAGTCAGTTATTGCATTGCTCATTGTTTTTGGTTTCGCAGTCTTCAACTTCTGATCTTTCTTCACTTCATGTTGTGCTGTGACATCTGCAAACGTAGTTACCGTACTCTCCTCCAAATCTGGTATAACTTTAAATCCCAGTATTCATCATCTAATAACTCAAACTGTTTCTTTAACCATGTTAATATCTTTATGTATTGCTTCGGAACATTTTGTTTAGTTTGTGTATTTAACCTACCTGCCAATCTTATTCAAAGTCTTGCACGACATCTAGGAAAACAGTAGAACATGTATTCTTTTCTTACAAGGCTCGGTCAATGATGTTGGTTATTCTATGCAATTCGTCGATTGTTGAGTCAACTTTTGTCTGAATCCGAAGTGATAATATGGGATTGGGTTATTAGATTCTATTATTGGCCAAAGTCTTTTGAAAGATGCAATTTCTCTAAGAGTTTTGAGACCGGTGGTAACAGTGAAATCGATGTGTAAGATTTATTGTCGTTAAGTTGTTTTCCTGGCTTTGGCTGTATGATACACTCTACAACCTTATCTAGGCAAGCGCTTTAGGATTTCTCCTGTGATGAGATCGAAGACTGGAGCTTTCTTTGGTTTCAGGTTAGTTCTTAACTCATCCGTAACTTTTTTAATAGTAAGTGGTGTGATATTTTTTGTTCTTTGCTTTACAATATTGGCCACCTCGTAATGGTTTTGCCCTAACACAAACCCAATTTTCAACGTGTTAAGTAAACGGTTGCCATATTAGCAATCATAAAATTTGTCTGTTAGCAATCGATTCAAAATTATCGCAACCATAAAAATTGCGTTTGCCAACGTAAACAGAATTTATTGATGTTTATGGTATACTATTAGAATCCACACCGTTCTAAACGTAACGCATCGTTCGGCAAACGAAAACGCGCTAATAACTTCGTTCAAAACCTTCTTTTGTAAAAGAACACCGCGGCTTAATGATTTATCACCAAGTACAGGAACAGGTTAGTTCTTAACTCATCCGTTACTTTTTTAATAGTAAGTGGTGTGATATTTTTTGTTCTTTGATTTACAATATTGGCCACCTTTTAATGGTTTTGCCCTAACACAAACCCAATTTTCAACGTGTTAAGTAAACGGTTGCCATATTACCAAACGTAAAATTTGTCTGTTAGCAATCAATTCAAAATTAACACAACCATAAAAATTGCGTTTGCCAACGTAAACAGAATTTATTGATGTTTATGGTATACTATTAGAATCAGCAGAATATATCCAATATATTAACAATTATATATAATTTTGATATCTCAAAATTAGTCCTCTTTGAATTCATAAACGGTTTTTTAAAATTCGGTTCAATGCACACGGGTACAATATTGAGATAAAGCATAGATCAGACTTTCTAATGATTTATTTAGTTTTCGGTTATTTCTGAAGGTAATGTAAATATTACATGAAAAGTAAATGAAAAAGCTCAAGAAAAGGTTTATTGCTGTCATAGCATGGATAATTTCTTACCTCTAGAAAATATTTAAATATGTATCACCATTTGTACTTAATCTTGAAAGGTATTAAATCCTTGTAAACTTTTGTTAAATACATTTTCTAAAACGCTGTGTCGAATTTAATCTTTTTTAATCCTTACAGCGATGGGAAAAGTCTTATTAAATAAAAACATAGTGTGATGTCACCATTTAAAGTGAAGAGATTACATTTAAATTTTTATTAAGTTTCATGTTAAGGACGTGTGTCAGTTAAGTGGAGATTTGGTTAATGTGGGAAAATCCATAACGTTGGAGTTAAAAAAAACGCTGATGATAAAAATGTTATTTACGTTTTACATAATCTATATTTCAAATCAACGAGTTTAACGGTTTGAGAAACGTGGATCCAAATTTTATTTTTACCCTAACAACTCAATAAAAGTCATTGTCTTGAGTCAACGACACCAAATCTGATAAGAGAGCTCAAGACTGGACTTTAACGCAGTCGGTTTCTTATCGATAGAATTCAATGGACTTGAACGTGAATACTGAATGAAGGCAACAGCTGTCGCGTGGAAGAACATTTCTATGGTCCATTTTAACAGTTTAAAGTGAGCGAAATAGTTTTGTATGGTAAAGGATATAATTTGCGGTATGGTCGTTCGGTCTAAGTGGTAGTTTGTTGGTAACTTAAAATTCTTTAACTTGGCAGTTCGCGTACTCAGTTATTTTTAGAGCGCAATTATCGGAATCATTAGTGTCCAAATGCGCATACCAAAACCAACACAACACCGTTCTAAACGAAACGCATCGTTCGGCAAACGAAAACGCGCTAATAACTTCCTTCAAAACCTTCTTTTGTAAAAGAACACCGCGGCTTAATGATTTATCGCCAAGTAGAGGAACGTTGAAAATATAACGAGAAAAGAAACCGATGGCCTTGTACTCTAGCTCGTCAATTTTCGTCAAGCACCGCAGACTACTAGGCTCCGAAGCACAAATGAGAACAAGCAGTATAATGGCCCATTTGCGGATATCGTTAGCGAAACGGTATTATTTACTTTTGTACCGACATCAAAGGCACTCTCCGAATATCTTCTTCACGTCTCGGTGATGCGTCGGGCGCAGTTGGGTGTTCTCGCTAAAAATAACGAATGCGAAGAACAACTGACGCTCCTCTTCGTGTTTAATGAACGCATCTTGGATTCTATTTATATGACCGGTGGATAGATTTTCACAACAGAGGTTTCGATTATGCGCTTGCCCTACTCTTTATATCAACACTAAAACCATCTGTAGATACTTTTCTAAAGCCGTGACATCTGAACCAAATGTTATTGAAATTAATAGCAACAGTTTAATATTACAACAATATGTGCTGGTGACCTTGACATTTAATTTTAAAGTTCAAGATTAGTATCTATTTATAACAACATTTATTACTGTATGAGGGTATACTTTTGCCAAAAAAAAATCTTGGTGTTGGAATGTTCTAATTGAACCTTTGCAGAAAATGAAACCATTTCATCACTCACGTGTTCATTTTCCCTTTCCGTTTCCTTTTGTTTTCCATTAAGAAGTAGTAATTACTTTAACGTTTTTCACCCTTGCGTCAGTCCCTCCATTAATATATTTAGAGAAACCCTGAGGGCGGTTCAGAAACGGAGCTGGATGACCGCTAAATGCGTCTGGTCACTTCCCATCTGCACGTTCACATAGTCTCTAATTTCTTCTTTTCCTCGGTGGTCCGAGGTGATTGTTTCCGTTGCCTTCCTCTCTTATTTAATTACGTCCCTCAGAGAACCCCAACTCCTGGTCAGCGAAAGAATGAAGATTAATGAGACTGCGACATGATTAGGTGTAAATACGAGGCGGATGGGGTGGGGAAAATTTGCTGGAAAAATTAATTGCGGCTGCTATGGGAGAACGGTAGCTCGGTTTTTAATTAATATTCGTGGGCGTAACGAGTCCCGCGACCAACGTTATTGGATTCGGAGTTTAGAAACAAAGGGGAAACGTTCAAACAAAAGTTAACGTTTTAACGGTAAATTACCAAAATTACATTCTTAAAACCCCCATTTTAAAAACCCTGTTATATATATTTTCAATTTTATTTATTTGTTGCAGGTCAGTTCCGATCTCCAAGAATAACAGAGCACCCATCAGATACGATAGTAGCTAAAAATGAACCAGTTACTTTGAATTGTAAGGCTGAGGGCAGACCTACACCTGATATAGAATGGTTTAAAGATGGTGAACCAGTTCGAACATCGACAGTTGATAAAAATTCGCACCGAGTTATTCTTTTATCTGGATCGCTTTTCTTCCTACGGACTGTTAACAGTAAAAAAGAACAGGATTCGGGAGTCTATTGGTGTGTAGCAAGAAATCACGCGGGTTTCGCTACGAGTAGAAATGCTACTCTTCAAGTTGCAGGTAAGATATTTATATTCACTAAATTTTAAAAGTAATTCCTTGACAACTTTATTACCAACTTACAAAATTAACCATTTCCGAAACTTGAAACTTGTCACGTTAGTCTGTAGGTGTCTCTCCCTATAACTAATTAGAGCAGGAACTTGTCCGAACACTCCGCGCGATATGATCGATTACCTCAATTTGTCAGGAAATAAGGCTCATATATTCATATCTAACGGCACAAGGGTCTCCTTTTATGAATACGAAAGCCTAATAGACAATTAGGCGCCTTATAACCAGCGTAAAGCCGACGTCTAGAAGGGGAAGGTTTGAATTTATTCTGAACACATGTGCTCAGCGTCACACGTGCACGACATGAATGGGTGGCACAAAGGAATCGCCGATTTTCAGATAGACAAAAAAATCCAATACGACAGATGGGCGAACACATTTTAAAGTTTGATGAAGGCGTACGTGTAATTATGAGCTCCCTTTTTATCGATGACCTATCTTTATGGTTGTAGATTTCAAGGGTCACCCCAACTAAACACTACTACTCAATTCTCTTTTCGATATCTAAAGAGGCTGATTTGCTTTAATACACAGGTAAGAAGGAAATATCCTCTTAACTAAGATAAAAGGGCTAGTTTAAAATAAACGTGGAGTGTTCTAAGAATGAGCTAATTTGTTCTTTATAATCGTAAACCAATTATATATTTTTTTTATTATTTATATTTTTATTTACTGATAAGCTCATAAACAACAGCTGCAAGAAATAGAAATTCTAGGTTATCACTTTGAATGATTGAAACCTTGTGACCGGTACAATTGTAGTTACAAATAATAATGACAATAATATTCTTATAGAAAGACATTTAATTTATTACTGTATAATTTATCTACCATAAGTAATCAGAATGTTGATGAAGAGTTGAAAGGCGGACTTGACCTTAGTAAAACAATAATAATAAATTTAAAATTACGTGAATTATAATGTGTGTCATAAATACTTGTAAATCAAATAAACTTGAAGTTAATTTTGACTATTACTTAGGTCCATTACTACCATCTTTTAGTTAAATTTATCTAATAGATAAACCCATCTACTAGCCAATCAGAGCGCGTAAAATATCCGTAACTGTGGTAATAATCCCTTAGATAGCTTAACCCGAAGATGGTAGTAATGATCCTTAATAATAGTCTTAACATTAGGTTATGAATTGAGGCTTTTAATTTTGAAATCTTTCATTCTTATGGGATCCTTAATCGGTTGTTATGTGATTACGCTGACATCCTTAAATTTATATTTTCCCCCAATATCTACTAAATTAAAGCATCACTTGTATATTACCTATGTCTATGATTAGAATTCTCCATATAAGAGTTTGATTCTCTGTGTCCTCCAAAGTCTTTCCTAAACATGTTTTTTTTAGAATGTTGCCAATAAGATTGGTCAGTATGTCTTTGGAAGAGTGGGATCTTGGTCAGCTCCTTTTTGTTTAACAACGAGTTCCTCTTCGATAAATCAGCAGGTGTTGTTTCTGCATTTAGTCGTTTTAGTTACTTTGGAATATTTTCATGCTCGGTATCTTACCTATTTTTTGTTTCGCCATAGTTTTATTTATCATCCCTACTTCAAAAGGCTTTTCTTGTGTTGTTTTTATATATCAGTCTTATACTTATTCCGTAATTTGTTTATTTTGTATGTTGCCATCGGAAAGCAAAACTTACAAGGTATATCTTTCATCCTCTTTTAACGTAGAGAAAAAGTTGGCCACCTTATTTTTACCGTTGTAATGTTTTGAATGATACATCGATGTTTATCATTGATTAGGATTTTCTGTAAAGGAGGCTACTTTAGTTGCCTTTGAAATCGTGTTATATTATTTTTTTTGCAATATATGTTGTTGGTATATAGTATAGTACAGCTATACTATCTGACCTATTTCACCTGATATAACGGTTTGACTATATTGTGCGTAAATATGTGTTTTGCTACTAACAGTTTATGCTATGGATGTCTAGTACCTATATTTATCCTATAAACTAATCCCGTAAAGCTCACCTAGCTCCTAAGAAAGACTTTCGTCACTAGTATTAATATATCATTAGCTGACGTGAGCAGAGATCCCTACTTTAGTATTATTCAATCCACCGTTTCAGATCCATCGCTATTCTAGATTCTCTGTAGATCGTTGGTTCGGTCTTTTGCTAATTTTTCCATTTTAGTTTTCGGTTCTTTTGTTTTGGTTCATTCTGCATCTCTAATATCATCTGCTTAATTCTCAGAGTATTTGTTTTTCTCAACTCACTTGTAGGTCATTTACCTTATTTTCATCAATTTTGATATAGGTACTGAATTTCTTGATATTCTCAGTCTATTGCTTGGTGTTTTTGGATATTGCTATAAATCCAATAAAACTTATTTAGAATCGCCTGGAAATCTGATAGAAACTCCTAGAATAATTTTGGATTTCTTAAATATTCTTGGAAATTATTATAAGTTTTATGGCAATTCTTAATATACATTGAAACCCCTCTACTCATCTAGAAATGCCAGGATATGATTAGAAATCTCTGTATCCTCCTGTAGAAAATCCTTTGAAATTCTTAAAAACTCTTTGGAACTCTATATAACTATCTTGACATCATTTAAAAACCCCTAAAACCAAAGAAAAAGTTAAAAGTTTTCTGGATAGCCTTAAAAATTTCTGGTTATTCCTAAATATCTTTTGGTATTCTTAAAATATCTACAATACTCTATATATCCTTGTTTATATCTTCCCTGGAAACCCTTAAAAATCCTTGCAAATTCTTTGGTATAGGATCCTGGACATTTGTAGACATCTCTGTTTATCTTTGTAATTTCTGAAAATTGTCACTTACGTTTGGATATCACTGACAACCGTTATTAATTCTACGGTAATGGTTTGAAATTCTTGAGAACCCTCTAAAACTTCATAGAAACTTCTGCTTATACTTGGATATTTTTAGAACTTTGGGATATTTTTTAAGATACCTGGATATCTTTAACAAGGCAGTATAAAAGGTTTTTAACTCTTACAAGATATCTGATGATCGAATCCAGTTAGATTCTGAATATTCTTGATAATCTATGAGTACTGTATATAGGTACTGTATATGGAATTCTTTGGTTATTTTTAAAACCCCGGCTAAAATCGTAGAGGTTTAGAGATAAGTTTAGAAATTCATAGATATTCTTAGTAATTTCTCAAAAATTATATCACCTTGAAATTTGAATGCACTCTTTATTCAGTGCACTAAGGGTCTTTTTTTCAATATCTACAACGGCACTGCTTTCAGTGACGCTGGGGTTGCTTATGCTTTTCAATATAGTTCCTTGTGTTTTTCCACAGATATCTGTTAGTATTACTTTCTTCTAATCATGTCTAGTAGTACTTCACAATAGATATGTTTTGTAATGGGTATCGGCGTAGCATGCACGAAATACAATTCTTGTGATAAATCATATTTATATCAGACAACAAACGTTAAAATCAGAATTTTCATACAAAAATTTTACTATTTCAATGTTCTTCCTAATCTGTTACAGCCTTTGATCACCAATGTGTATGCATTACTACTGAAGTTTCTATACATATCAAAAGGGAACCTCTGGTATAGACGAATTTGGTATTCATTCATTCCACCGCAAATTTCACATATTATTCCATCTATCATAAACATTATCATGAAAAATGTATTGTATAAGAATGTTTGAGAAAAATCTATACTGTCTTGATAACTATTAAGTTTTTGTATCAACATAGTATCAATATTATGCATCCGCCGTAAGCAACTTCGACTTAATTAAGCCACATTATGCTAAAACTATGATCAAGCTTGCTAAACAGAAACTTTACGATCTTTGTACACAATTAAATATTAGGTGTTTATCTTAAAAACATTAGTGGGATATTACGGTTAATATAAGCAATTGTATGTGGGTTTAGTGTGGAGCTCTGATTTCAATAAACCTTTAAAACTAGAAAATTTTATAAGTCCTCGTTAAATTTGTAACAACATAAGATAAAATCGATACGCCTTTACAATTTACAAGTTCTCCCAATGCAGATGTTTTAATGCACTTGCCATGTCTCGAGTTGTACTACAAGACTCTACGTTCAACGCTACTCTTCCTTTTCAAATAGCCGATTGGATGCGATCGCAAAGTTTCCAGACGTGTTGAACATGTTGAACATCGGCAATTTTATTGAGCTAGCGTAGTTCGCCGAGAGACCCGACATAACGGAAGTAAGGTTCAGTATCTGTGTTAGTATAACACGATATAATAATATTTGCGTGGACCCGAAGTATGTATTTTAGATCGCGTGCCTACAATAGCGGCTCAGAATAATATACAAAAGTTTGCTCCGGGTTACAGAATCTATAACTTCAATATGGTTTTATGTAACCTATAAAATAAAACATCTTTCGAGTGTGTACTTAATTTTTATTATTAAAATATTTTCTATTTTACGACTTAATCAGTATCGATTTGTTCTATTCGTTGAACACGGTTTGGGGTGAATTGAAGCACGAGGACTACACACAACAACGGGCGTATATCGGGCGTGACATGTTCACCGGCTTCGACAATTGATTTATGATGTTCGAGACCGAACGACGGTCCATTGTGTCTGTGATCTGTCATCACCGACTTCTGGACACTGGACGCGAACGATTTAGGAAGCGATGCTGAAATGTGTAAGCGCGATTTTGTGGAAAAGTGCGGTAGTCCTCACATAAATCAATGTCAAACGGGCGAACCACAACGATTGATTGAGTTGGAGAGATCAATTTTTGTGTCAAGAAAACCCTTGAGGATTTAAGTTTTAACAACTTTTACTTTCGAGTTTAATGGTTGTATGAGAAATTAAGTTGTAAGGAATTAGTTTGATTATTGTGTATTATTTAAGAGGTGCATTAGGTAACTACAAAGCAAAGCAATGTTAGTAAATCCTAGAATCCGTACATTTACAGTATTTAGAATCCAACAAACATCTGGCTTACACGAATCTCTCCGAGGGGAATAAATCCAAACGTCGATGTAAACTACCAAAACGTTTCTCGAGGAGTTATATGAGTGACGTTATGGGATTTACCGACGCTCAACTTAAATTCTATATATAAATTCCATATACACCTCGTGTCCGTATCGGCTGTCTCTGTGCAGAAGCCCGTAAATCTCCGCCAACTCACAGTAACCAAACATTCGGGCGCTAGACGTGATTTAAACGCGCCTTACGACATTAAATTATAAAACCCATCGGTGAATCCTTCGAAAGCCCGAGAGGTCCTCCTTCACCTTCAAACGATTTAAAGTGGGCTTTATCGAATATTATGGCGTGAACGACTAAATATACGCGCCTTTTCGAGTGGGACAATTTTTAATTTTAGTAGGGTGACTTAGCGTCGTAAAAACGCAAGACCTCATCGCAGAGTTTACTACCGTCGTTTTTCATATCGCATTTAGCGTATTTTGACGTTTTTAATGCGTCGGTCTTAATTAAAATGGCCGACCTCGCACGAAAAGACCAGCTGAGAGCTTTTACTGGTTGCGTGAGCTTTACGAGTGAGCTTGTTAGCTCTGAACCTTTCGTTTAATATATTCTTTTTCACCAGGCGCAAGTTATTGCGGTGTACGGATTGCCACCAAGCGAGGGATTAAAAAGGCTCTCAATATTCGTAATCAACTTGCAATTTACTTTCCGCTAAATCGTGATGATATAAAGCTCATTCAATTTAATTATGAAAGAGCTTCTTTATACATAACCAAATAAACAAACGCACAAATCATATTTTTTATTAAGTATTAAAATGTTTGCAAATTATAAAGTTGTTTTTATTAGTGATTCAAATTTGTACTGCTTTGTCGCGCATTAACTGAAAGCAACATCGTATAACGTTAATGCCTTTTGACATTCGAGCTTTCTTTAAGTTAAAATCACTTTGCATCCCGCTATTTGCCGGGGGCTTCTCTATAAATATTGACCGTGAAGTGCTGCGCCTCAGACGCCAGCACCGTGATTATGCTAATGATGCCATTTGACAAATTGACTCCCGGGACGGTATTAAGTACGATTCCGTGTTTGTCGACCCTCGAGTAAGGCTTCCATGGAAAGACTAGGGCTTGTCTCTGCAACGTTTTCCGATCCTGACGAGTCCATTAAAATATCGGTTACGCGCCCGAGTTTCTTCTGTACACAAAATTCCAATTTACATAAAGCTTCTATTGATATTCGACGTCAACCGACTGGAGATTTGCGGTCCAAGTACCGACCCAGAGCTTTTTACGACGGCGAGCTTCCGTTGTATAAAATATGCTAATAAAGTCCCCTTGATGCTTTTTGGACCTGTTTGCGAAGGCGTCGGAAAGTGTTACTGCCGAACTGCATTACAAATCACCTAGATTATAGTACTACACAAAAAGTAATCGAAGTTTTAGGTTTTTATTTATACATAATTACATTAATCCTCTACATGTTACAATTACGCGGAAAAAATAATTTATAAAGTTACAAACAGACGGATTATAGCTACAAATGTTTTGGCAATTTTTTCCATGGTCCAAAATACAACGTCGTAATCAATAAATATCACTGGACCTAAAAATGTTATTTGAATTAAACGAAAAATGTAAAGATATTTAATAAATATACCCAATTTTACTTCTTGTGTAGCGTCCATATTTACCTCAACTTCGATGATTTATTAAAACCCACCCAGGTACTAAAATTTCATACATTAACTTAATTGTGAACAGTCGTTATTAAAAGGATAACATAAATTTTGACATAGTTTATAACCACGTCATTGCAAATCGGTCAACTGACACAACATATGAAAATGTCACTTGGATATATTATATTATGTTAATAAATAACACCTCTTGAGACATATAAGAGGAGTGGCGATCGTAAAGATGACGACCGAGGTTTGTTATCGACCGCGATTATTCATCCAAGAGAAACGCTAATAAACTCCCCCAGACGGACATGACGCGCTTTCCCGATAATAAAATATTTCTATTTTATTACGGGTTCAGTGACTCCAGCTAAGTAATACGATGCCGCAGTAAAGCCTCGGTGTTTACCTTCTGGAAGTGGCAGTAAATCGTAGAGGCGCGTTGTCTCCTTTCTTCGCGTCTATTTTCAACTGAATGTGAAGACTACCAGTCGTCTGTATTTATAAGAATTGGTGTCGTTACCGTCCAACGTTAGTGAATTATCGATGTAATGAAAAGTGACCACCCGAGACGAGATATAAAATTGAACAATTTCAGTGAAAAAAATCAAAAAGCACATAAAAAATTAAAGTATTTAATTTAATGTGTTGTAAAATGGGCCCAAACAAAAAAAAACAAGAATTTCATTTGTTTCGAATTTCACGTAAAATAAATTGTTTTAATAATGAAATTGTATTGCGCCGTAATGCTTATTTATCAGGCGGTAACTGTATATCAAACCCAACAAACTAATTTTGTCGGGAGGGTTTTTGCCGGTTCAATTTTTGTTTCCGAATTTATCTCGCAGTAAACCGCCAATTTAATTAAAATCGCGCTTTTTTCTGTCGGCATTCGCCAAATTTTAAAACCGCAAACCGAATCGATACGCGGACCACGCACGCTGTAACAAAGTTTAACCACCGACCAATAAAAAGCGGGTCGACAAAAAACGAATTACACCGTTTCGTATTTGGAAATAACACCCCCCAACCTTTTGGTCCAGACAGCGGCTATTTTAAATATTAATTAAATCCTCCATAGTAAATGGTTCGAGTCGGTAACGAAAGGGTTGGCCGCGTTTTTCCCGGAAATTAAATCGAAATTTAAAGGCCCCGCTCGGTTACCTCTTGGAAACCGCTCCGAAAAAACGTTCCAACATAAACAATTTGAAACGTACGGTGAATTTGCATAGAGTCAACTAGCCGTAACCGGGCTTTTCCATGCATATGCGAATTTGGTTACACGTACATCTCGCTCTGCGTAAAATATAGGCGTTCGCGCACGCCCCCTTATCCATATTCATGGAGATCATGCATATTTCCGGACCGTGCATTCCTGTGCACATACGGCAATTAAGAAAACAAGGATAGTTATGTGTTGAAATTTTTTACAAACTGTTTCCGGATGGTTTCTCATTAAACCATTCATGATAAAATCTAAAACAACGCTCTTGACAGTTATTAATACTTTATTTTTACTGTCTTTATTTAATAATTACAGTGTAAAATTAACAACGTTTACATATCTTTTTAAAGTGAAATTTCAATATCAAAGTGAAATTTGGTATAAACATTAAAATATCAATTAACAGTTTCATAACACTTTCGGCTATTTCACTCTTACAAAGAATTACCAAGTCATGTAAGACGCGTTCCGCAAACACCTCGTTCACAACGTTGTCTCCTCGGGTGTCAACGTCTTTATGGTCCTTTTAACCATATGTAATTTTTAGCTTTTTTGATGTTGTCTCTACATGCATTTTCCTGGTTAGTGCTTTATTTTGAAGTAACTCTGATTTTCCTTTATTTGCTTACTTGTGAGGAGTACCATGACCGTGCATAGTTATAACGAATACATAAGCACTGATTGTAAGTGTACCTTATAAGAGGTGTCTAATCGAATTATGTACTTGAAACATACTAAAAGCATAACATATGACCAAAATAGCGAAGCTGTTGCAATATCTTAAAACATTTTTACGAAACTTCGAAATTCGTGAAGAACGTGATCTAAAGCTCGATTAAGCTCTTAAGTGAAAACAATTTCATCGATCTTTTTTCACTAGTTTTTCATCTATAATCATTAGCACAAATTTTGATGCTATACATTTTATAGAGATTGAATAAATTAATAAACCAATCAGACTTTTGTTGTAACAAACTTGAAAGTAAAATAACATCACTTAAGTTACTGATTGTATTAGGCAGAACTTAGAGATAACTTCATTAATTTGAAAGTTAATAAGTTAATTAAAGAGATAGATTTAGGTTATTCTCACAAAACCAATCTATTACTGAAGTGATGATCCGGTTTATAGGTCGTAGCAGCTTAAAACATTCCATGCCAGTAAAGCCTACCAAAAGAGTTTATAAAAGTTGTATAAGGCCAGATTTATGGGAAATGTAACCGAAAATGACATTGTTGGGTTCGTTGTACACCATGTTACTGTGCACGTTTTAGCTACATCATGATGATGATCAATGTTGTCAATTGAAGAGGAATTATTTCTCTGTTAAATGCTACAATAAATTTAGAGTATGGGTTCAGGATCCGTCTTCTTTTTTGCAAGTCTCCGTACAGACATTACAGGCCAGCATTTTGTGTATATCCTTTATCATCCATTCTTTCTTCCTGGATTACAGACAACGTTTTTTTAATGTATGTAAGAATGAAAATAAACAATCTCTAAAACTTGTGAGTTGTGGATGAATCACTACACTCTTTTCTCCTGTGGCCCTGCAGTTGAGCTATTCTATGTTCTGTTTTAAAATATCGGAATATTTGTCTTGTATATTCACAAAGTTGTCAACTAATTCTTTCTTTACCTCTATATTTTCATCATAATCATTCAAGTTAGAAATTATGTTATGCACACTATCATTCACAACCTACTTCTTGCATGCTGACATCGCCAACTTACTTTGCACGCATACCCAATATATGTCTTATTTATTACTTTTTCTTAGATTTGCACCAACTTTCTTTTCATTGGTAGCACAACTACTTCATCGGTTGCAATGGCTGGGTAAGGTTCTCCTCAGGTTCTCCTCATCATCAATCATTTCATGTAGTGCTCTGAATCATTCATTCCTGTATCAGTTCCTAAAATGGTGTCTTAAGCAATAACGTTGTTGATAATCAACAACATACCATATCATCTTCTTTCCTTATATTACCTTATTATGCATTAACTTTATCAGTATTTGACTTATGCCCATATCTTTTTAATCACAGTTTGAATAGGTCTAACTTCCTTTGCCCTTGTCATCTTGACTCTATCGCATATTCGTTGTCTGATTTAATAATCTTTACTAGCACCATCCACCAGGTGCTAGTAAAGGTATAATCCAGAATCGGGTAGTTTGGAATAGCTGTGTAAGCCGATGAGGCATTATGGTTGAAAAGACGGTTCTTCACAACTCCCGAAGATACCATATACTATTTGCAGATTGGTAAATTTGTACAGGAAAGCTTTTTTGCACACTTAACTAACCCTTGCCAACTGTGTTTATCATGTTTTAAAAACATTAAAGCTTTGAGATTGTATTAATTGTTTAAATTTAATATTTCATTATCTATTGATACACTTTGTAATTATTGGTTATCGGTGTCATATAAAAATGTAAGAAACTTGAGTGTGAGCCATTTCAGTAAATTTTCAATAAATAATCCCATTTGAGACTCCTAGAGTTTGGGAAAGTAACCGTTGAAGTGTCATTGTATTATATGACGAAGTTAATTATTTGTATAATTCCCGTTTAAGCCCTTTTAAGAAATTGCTTTCAAATTCAGAAATAATTTTTGAGTGTTTTTGTATAACGTCATACACCTTCACATTTTCTTCCACTAAGTTTGTCAACATCCTCTTATGGGGCTATTGTTAAGAAGTTGTTAAACATAACTGTTAAATATCTTAACAATTAATAAAACTTCAGGTTTTTAAAGGCGAGTGACGAATCCACCATATGAATATAATAATAACCGATAAGGGGTAATTCAAAGTGCTACTAACTCTTCACTTTGATACCAAATTTTATCCATCATCTTTCTTTCATAAGTACTTACATGGAAATTCTCTTTCTATAACAGCCACATAAATATTTATGATGACACGTACACAGAAGAAGTTTTAAAATCGACTCCTATTCGTAACTTATTGATACGAATAGTACACTAGATCGATCTGCAAGACGAAAATACACAACAATAAATGCCGACTTTTACTGCGTACTCCTAAAAGCTTGGTCCGTATAAAAACAGCCAATAAATATCGAATATCACGACCGTCTAGTATCTTTGTCGTGTCTCTGTGGGATTTGGAATGCGCGAGAAATACTAACCGGCGTTCGATCGTAGATGTAGTAAGTGCTAGTAACGTGATGTAGATGTAAAGGTAGTTAGGAGTTTTGGTTAAATTAAATCCCTAGAGTTCCTGTTGTCATGATGACGACGCGTAGGGTGTATTGTTACCAACTAGGCGAGCTGGAATTTACTGCTAGATTCCTTCAAGTCCGTTGGGAACTCGTAATCACCACTAGAAACGAGTTATGAGCAACAGAAAAATCCCAACTCATAATTCGTTATCAAGCGTTTTTATGACACTCGGGGTTGAATTTCCTCATTAGTTGCTGACTGATTTAAAACTACTTTTTTTCATTTCTGTTTAATTAAAAATTTGAAATATGAAAATAAATGTGAGAATGCTGATCGTAGTGTTAAGTTTATTACTCGTATTTGTATACATGTAGATTAAAATGATTGGTGAGAAAAGAGCATTGTAATCCATTGTGGATTTATGTCGTGATATAGTCTGTGTGGTAGCTTAACAAACGCACGCAATTATTATTCAGGAACGATTTCCGCCTTGTCATCCGTTTTCACAAAGGACTCGACGATAACATTGAACGCGGCGTCGTCGGCGGTAACAAATCGCGCAATTAGCTTGTGCACTTCCAAAAGGGGGCGTTATCTCATTAATTCGTCCATTGTCTGCATTTCGGGAGTTTCGCGGACGTGCCGACTTCGCAATCTGATACCAAGATGATTTATATCACGCCTTTCTCGGACCGTTTCGACAATTAACCTCATCGTCATCTACGGCGCTACCGCGACCGGCATCTTTACGCTGATGAAGTTTTATTGTAGCGCGTAATTAATGCGGATTCTGGTACTCGTTAGGCTGACATTCAGGAGAACACACATTGATTAATGTTCCGAGTGGGTGGGCGTCATAAGAAACCCCGCTTAAGACTCTATGATATACCGTTGTTTATTCAAAATAGAATACCGCTTACTAATTACTAACGTGTTTCGTATGGCGTCATAAGTGTAGCAATCTGAAATGATTAATATTCGCAACGGACTTTGTTGCGGATCGCGGTGAAGTGTGGGCGATCTATTTTTGTTACGACCATTTCTGTTTTACGTTTAATAATTTATGGGTTTACTACGAAATATGGTTTTATAGTTACCGTTAACATGTCAAAACAAAACTGTGTCATCTTTCGCAAATAACCGTTCCATTTACTCACTAAATTATGGGCAGCGTAAATCTTATACAAATCTACTCTCTCTTTACCACAACATCCACTATTTACTTATTCGGAATAAACGTAACTTTTACTTTGATGTTACATCTAACGAAGCCACATCAAAGATTAAAACCGTGTGCATCATCAAGATTGC